CGAAATAAATTTTGGCAATTCGTATCTGTACCACGTGGCTTTAATTGGACATATAATTTCACAGTAATTGGATACAACTATGTCGCATGAACGCGTAATTACCAAAGCGTATTTCGAATTATCGACGATAAGAAATTATCGTGCAATCGATTATGTGTCTAGGCTGGGATTATAAACGCAGCTGTTATTGTCTCGTATTCAGGAAAATCTCGTTATTGGCTAACAAACTTTCAAATATCAAATTCTATTTGTCGAATGACAGATTTTTTTTTTATATTACATAGCTGGTAAATTTGAATAAAAAATACAAATATTGCTTTTTACTTTTAGATTACAAAATATTAATTTAACAATATATTGTTTTATCTATTAGTGAATAATTATACGAATATTTCTATCAACGAATTTTAATTTTAATAATTACTTGATTATAAATATAATCGTATGTATAAAAAATCTATTTTCTATAGATAATTTATACATTAAAATTTGAATTCTGTAATGTAAATATAAAAAATTTTTCACATTATCCAATATTTTATATATTTTCAAATATCAAAAGCAATTCTCTGAATCATTATATAATGAATTTTTCTCGAAACGAGATACTATAGTATATATTTCATAGTTTTATGTATCTTAAATTATGTTATCATGGATCCTCTAATGTGCCATTTAATCGGAAAAAGCTTGTGTGATGGATAAAACTGAAGTGAAATTCTATTTAAATGCTTTGAAAGTCTGAGTGCAAGGTCTGTTCGTGTCGTGTTAAATCGATAACTTGTTGAGTTCGATGTTGGAGTGATTTCATAGTTATGAATCGTGTATTTCATATATTTTGTTTAACAAAATGTATGTTACGTTACTCGGTTGAATTTAAAAGTTTGGCAATTATTTATTAATTAAGATTGTTTGCCTTATTTATGATTATGTTACATCGTGTTGTATGCAACGAGAAGTAGAAATTTTGAGATAGAGAATAGTAATTTTACCCTGTGGAATTAACGCTACATCGGTGGTGTACATTACAAGACAGAAATAGCATTCTTCAGGGATTAATTAATTTTAATTACTCAATTGCAATCCTCCTCTCTTTTCGTTATTACAAGTGATCCATATGCTCGTGTGCTAAATTTTGCGGTGGATTAATTATAAATACAGTATACAGTGTATATGTTCTAGAAAAATAATAATAAAAAAAAAAATTTCATTTGAAAATGAAACTTTTAGAACGTTCTTTCAGTTTGAATGAAAATATTTATTTTATTATACACACAACTATATTATATTTGTTTTAGAATTCGCTATTTTTCATGAAAATAAATTTTCTTTTTCTTATTTTTATATTTTATTCGTTCGATATTAGGAGGATATTAATATTATTTATGAATAGTTCAGATGAGTGATTTATTCTTTTTATTATTTGTAATAAAGGATTACACTATTATAAATATTATAATAATTATTGTAAATTTTTTTATCTTTTTATCTTTTATATCAGAGGAAAGTGTAATTCGATAACTTATGGAAGTTTACATTTTAAAAAATAAAACAATCATCGAGATCGAGATTTTTGAGATGTCAGTATTTATTTTAGATTTCATCTTTATTCAAATAGAAAATTTATACTTATTCGTCTCTGATATAAAGGTGAGGATTTATTTATTACTTTTTCAGGAAAATTATTTTTCCACGTGGAAATTATTTTGCAATTATAATAAGTAATAAGAAAAATTACGAATATATTATTCTTTTAAACGATCAATATGAAATTAAAAAAAAAATAAATGTATTTGCAAATTATTATATATTAGAAATAAAGGTATGATATAGAAAAATAATATGATGCAAGATATTTATATAGCATATAAATATATGTACTCGTAAGTAGCTTTGCTTTCATCTTTCTCTTTTTAAAGTTGGTATTTCAATTTTCAAGTCAACTAAAGAACTCACAATGGAAGACATGTGGAAGAGAAAAACGCGAGATATTGACATCGCATGCAAGCACCAAAATCGATTTTAATAAGTGAATCGTAAAAAAACAAGTGCTGGTATTTTTCAAGGGAAATTGAAAAGCATCCGCAAAACCGAAAACTGGTAATCTTCCTGACAAATACGAGTGAATACGAGTAATTTCAACTTTGATAGAAAATCACTTCCAAGACTTCGGGATTCCTCTTCGTAAAGAAATCATGAAAGATCGTCCTATCAGAAGTTTTATAACGCTTGCTTGAATTCTATAATAATGTTTGCGAATTGTTAGTTAATGTATAATTTTATTCTACACAGTAAGAAATTAAGAAATCTTAAATTAAGATTTATGGAATTTCATTTATATTATTATTTTTTTAAGTTAACTTTATGATACGTAAAAGTTTGAAATTTTAAAAAAGATGCTTGATTAATTAAAGTAATGGATTGATATTTACAAAATTTCTTTTAATAATTTGTATCTTTTTAAAAATGTTCTTATTATATTTTAACATTTTACGCGTTACTTTTTCGCTTTAATTATCTTTAAATCTTTAAGACAATCTTTAAATTTTTACAATAAATCTTTAAATTTTGTATTTTATTTCTTATTTTATAAAAATATTTATTCTGTAATCACTTCTTAAAGACAGGATTACTTTAATGAAATGCTAAAAATGAAAATTTTCTATTTACTACATTGCTATTGATTATTTTATATCGAAAAACATATTATATTATTCAAATAATAACAACAACAAAAATTGGAATACAAACTCAAATCGTTTTTGAACAAAATATTGTGAAATATGTAAAAACTATTGTTACATTAACAATTGTTACATAACAGAGAGTATTAAATAATGATTTAAAAAATTTGAAATATTTATATAAATCTAAATAATCTATCTCTAGAAGGAAGAAATTTAAGACGTTAAATTTACAATGAAATATTAATTTACGAAAACATAATCTTTGCAAGCGAAAAAGGGAGAGTAATAAAATGACGATCGTCAATGTTCATTAACAAATCACAACTAGGAGAATGATATTTCTGCTTGAACTTTCTGTGCAGAGTTCAAGGACGATTCATTATCAAACCAAAATGGATCGAACGACACTCGAACTGCGAAGAATCGTCGAAGGTTTCGAGATTTCAGCGGAAATTCGCGCAATTATTTTCTAATCGACCAGGTCGAATTGAATTACAATTCGAACCAGCCAAGTCAAATCAAATCGCAAATTAACGCGAGAATCATCGATGCATTCAATAAGATTGTTCCTTTTAAAGAATTTATCGAAATATTCAGTGGTTTCATAAACAAATATTGTTTTTTTGTATTATTACCACTTAATATTTTTATTATAATATAATTATTTTTCAAAACAAAACGATAAAATTTTAAATTCCAGTTAAAAGATTTAGATATTATTTAAGGTATTATTAGAATTTTTGTTTCATTTTAATTATATAAAATATTTTAAATAAAATTTTATTATATTTGAAAAATAGAAAGAATCTAAAATTAAGATATTGAGACAATGACATATGAGTTCGTATTAAAATTTAATTACTTGAGAGGAAGGCAAATTAATTGAATTATCAGAGAATTTCATAAAAAATTATTGAATTATTGCTTAATGTATTTTTTGTAATGAATAATTTTTTAAATTCGATAGAAAAAATTGCATGGGGAAAAAATTATTCAGAAATTACTCTGTGAAGAACCATGGAAGGTACTAATACTATATAAAAATTTAATTTATCTGTTCTTTGTACTTAAAACTTTAAAAGGATTATTCCAGAAAAAATAAAAATTCAATACAGTCACAGAATAAAGTGAGCAGATTCATTTTCCAATTTAATGAAAGAATCTTTATATTACAAATTTCTTCATCTAATATAATAATAATCAGAATATATCATAAATAAATAATATGTTTATATAGGAATTAATTATTATTACATTAAAGGATTATTTTTATGATATATTTTTGGATATAACAAATTGAGAAAGGAAATGCCTCATTTTTCGAGAATATTATCCGATAACACTTTTATTCGAAACTCTCTAATCGTTGAAAGCTTTCGAACATTTTCAATTCGAACATGTTTCAATACGTATCACTATTCCAATTCCAATGGAAATCTGCATTTTAATCATATATCAATCGTTATGATATCATCTTATTTTAAATGTGAATACTTTTTACAAAAATAATTGCTAAAGACTTATACAATTAGACTTGAATTAAGTTTCTAATCAAAACTATGCATCTAATATAACCCATATCTAAATATTTTCGATTTAATTATAATTTTTATTACCTATAATAAAGATACAAAAAATATTAGCAAAAAAATTCTAACACTTGTTCATTATTCCCTTTCATTATTCTCGAGACTATCCTCTCAAATATGTAAATACAACGAGATAAAAGAGTTCCCTGTTCCGTTCCAGAATAATATAATCCTTTTCCTCGGTTTTTATAAAATAAACAACCCTTAAATATGGTGCACAATTTATTTTCGTGAAACATTCAAACGAACGACTGGCATGTTAACGCTGGAAGCAATTGACGTGTTTTCTTTCGTCACGAATCATTGATGTAATATTAAATAGGCGAGTTATACGTCCGTTCTGTTTTCGAATATGTTCCATTTCCCTATGGAGTTATGTATTATCATCCTGTTTAATTTTAAACGTTTGTGCGTAATTAATTCCGAACGTGAAACGAAACGAAATTTTAATTACGAATAAATTATAATCGAATGTTGAGCATAAACTTTTCATTCGAAAGATTGGCAATTTCAGATTTCTTCTATTTCATAGGAAATATTAAATGGAAATTTAATTAACGGTATGTTAATTCCGTTTCGTGTCATGTCAAAGAAAAATTGTTAATTAAATTGAATTGGAATTGGGTTGATATTAAAATATAAAAAGTAATAATAATAGAAAATTGTGTAACATAAAGAATCCCTTCCAACCCTTGAAAACTCTAGAGTTTTTATTTTCCTTCAAAAATAGCACTATCCTCAATCGTATCGTAAAACTAATCACGTGTGATAATAGATATTTATTATCTATAAATCCACATATATCCCAATAACAAATGAACGATACGATCAGCTCTACGATACAATGTTAGCTCTTAATAAACATACCTACGTAAACAAAAAAAAAAAAAAAAAAAAGAAGAAAAAGAAAACTAATTAAGCGATGGTTACCACGATGGAAGCACCCTCGTGTAAAAACTAAGCTTCTTAGATGGCTGGCCGGCTTCGTTCCATGATTATTGGATTACTTATACCACCGCTCGTATTCGTACACGGCTGATTATACGTCGAGTTATTCTCCTCGTTGTCACTTTCACTCCCACCTACACGAACAAGGGATTACAATGATATAGAGACGAGATTCTGCCCGTGTTTCGGACTCGTTGACGGTTGGACAGATGATTTTTCAACTTTCACAAGACTGAGATTTGCTTTGAAATGACGCATCAGGGGATTACGGTATAATCGTGGTATTAGGGAGATAAAACCGACGGGAATAGTAAGGTTGATAGCGAATTGATTTAATTCTTGATTAGGTGAATTGAGGTTTGTTAGAGATTGGAAATGTGATTAATTTCGTTGAGATGCGTGAGATTTGGGTCATTGAATGATTAGGATAATTTAACGTTGTTCAGGATTTATTCGTTGAATAGGGATATCGAATCAATTCGAATAGAAATTGAAATTTTAAAGATTATTGCAAATATTGGTAATCATATAAAATTATGTAAAAATGTATATTACTATTTAAAATGATTAGATGCTTTGCGATGAGAATGAAAATTATGATTATAATATCATAATGATATCAATCAATTAAATGGAAAGAAATCAATTTGGATGTTTTAATAAATTCATTAAAAAATGATGAACAAAGTTATTAAAAAACATTAACAGAATAATTGAGGAAACAATTATCGTAATGATATACCTTTAAATGGACCTTGATCTTGAGATGACCTTGATCCTCCATTTTTAATCTTCAAGTGATCTTCTTCCAGATAATCTAAAATAAAAAAATATATTAATATAAAATAAAATATATAAAGCGATATATTCCAATATATAAATTTATTAATAAAAATAATATATAAATTAATGTCAATCATTAATAAATTAAATAGATGATAATTTTATGATTAAGATCATCAAATCTCTCTCATAGACGAGAGTATATTTATATTGAATTGAATTAAATTCTAAATATGATTGAATTGGAATTATCTGTGACACTATATCAATCTTCGGTATTGATTAATTAGAACAGTAGTCACTAAAACTGTCACTCGAACACGTACATATCTTATAGAACATGTCTAGCTAATAATTATTAATCTGTACATGTAACGTTTCTTTGTTCTGCTGCGTCTGAAAAGAAGAACAATGATTAGCAATAGATTTTTTTGTTCAATAAACGCGTAAACGATCCAACATATTCGATCATATAATGAAATCATTTGCTTAATATCATCACGTTTATCATGGAACGATTGGATTTTGCACGCAATAAAATAATCCACAGAAACGAAATATACACGCTGGTTAACAAATTTTATCGTTCGTGTGGCCCTAACTTAATTAACTCTATTGACTCGATGTCTGTTTGATCTCCAATGGTACTAGTTCTTCAATTATTCCGCCATTTACGGGATATTTGTCGCGGACGTTAATTGTTGCCTGTTCAAACGATATATTCATCAGTTAATCGATAAGACACTGATTTAATTTATATCAAATAACGAAATGGCGAAATTTAAAATTAACGAATGGTTAAAAAAATGGTTATAAATTACGTTAAATTTTTAATGGTAGGTAGGAACGAATTAAAATTTTTTTTGATGCAATATTGTATGAATTTATATTTTATTTAAAATAGAATTCAATTTTTACTTTCATGATTCAATAAAACTGTGATTTTAATTTTTATATAGAATTGTAAAAATCGTTGAACTGATAAAAAATAACATCTATGAAAAGAAAATTAAAACATACATTGAAATTGAATAATCAAATTCTACAAAATAAATTATTGATGATAAAATGAAGAATTTAAAGAAATACACGATATCGAAAATAATCAATAGAAATAATTTTTATGATACAATTATAATAATTGTATCCAATATCTTTTATTAAAACGCACACTTTAAAAAAACTAGCATATTATTCTTTGAAATTTTTATCGAATAAAGTTCGCATAATTCACAATGCTGAAAAAAAATGATTTCCACTTTAAAAAAAAATATAGACCAACTGTTATTTTTAATATATATCAATTTTCAAAATATCTAATTTCATATTTTAATCTCCTCGCTTCTTTTATTAACACGAGTACTGAATATCTTTAAAATTTTCAAACTCACATTTTAATTTCAAATTGCCAATGAACTTGCGCAATCACAAGAGGATCCTGTTTCCTTTATCGCTTCTCTCTATAGCAATTACGAGTTGTTCACCGTAACGTTCACGATAATCTAACACGTGCGCCGGAAATGGTACCATTTCATTAATAATATGAATTATACATAGCAAATGGGTGTCCTTGGTCCACAAGTCAATAACACATTCTAATCGGAAGCCGATGCACACGCGAACTTCCGTGCATTGTGGTTTCCACGTGCTAGAATAACTCTATCTCCTTCTCGATATATTGACCACAGAGCAGTGTATTAAGTTCGACGAATTATATAATGAGACTGGAAATTTACCGTCTGTTACGATCAACTAATTAACGAAGCAATTGTGAGATTGTGCAGAAGAAACGAGACAGAGACAAATATATATGCGATTAATTTGATAGATATGATTGATGAACACAGTAATTTGCGAAATGGATAAATAGAAATTAATATTGTTACTTTTATTAGAATATGAAAATTTTCCTTGAAATGGTAATCATATAAAAGTAAAAATATTTTAAATGTATATTTTAATCCTTAAAGATTATCAAATGATCATTAATCATTTCAAATAAATGCTATTTTTATATAACAAATTATTTGACGATACATTTTTAAATCTTTAATATCAATTTATACAAATATTATTGTGAATTTCATTGAAAAAAGAAAAAAATTATATCAAATATATACTTCTAATCAAAAAAATCTTTATCAAAGAAAACATTTTTTAAAATTTTTGTTCAAATTCAATTATCGATACATGTATATCATAATTTCTACCCAAAAAAACTTCAAAACTTTAATCAAGAAAATTTTAAACGATTTACTCAAACAATTCCAAAGAAAAGAGATAAATGATTTCAATTTTCAGAAGAAATTTCCAATACTATTTAACATTGCACGCGAAATTCAAATGTCCTTTGCTCGAGCAAAGTCTATCTCTTGCTAATCTTTATATTTTGCAAAATAACTTACTTTTAAATTAACCAATTGAATATTTGTCTTCCTACCGTTCGAGAATCTGGGTTACTAATGCTTATTCTAGCTCTCTAGTGGTTCAATAGAATGAGAGATTCAGTTCGCAATTTAATTCAATTCAATCTCCAGGCGTTGTATAAATAAAAACGTTTAACAATCTGCTTAATCTTTTCAATCTTCAGACGATTCTTCATGCATATTTCATTTTTGTTTTTTTAACTCTTGAATAATTCAATAATTAGAATGAGATTAGATTGTTCAGTAATGAGATAAGAGAAGGAACAAGTTGAGGAAACATTATAGTTTTTATAATTTGTTATAATTTTCTATTTATATTTCATTTTCATTTTCAACGTTTATTTTTATACGAAAGTAGACGTAAGTTCTTTGTTAAATTAAAGAAATCTTAAATTGAATTTGTTTTTTTTTTCTTGTTATATTATGAAAAAGATAAGCTCAAAATAAAGGTCTATATCCAATTTATATTTATTTATATTATATATTAATATATAAACAGATAACAATCTGTCTAGTATATAAATAAATAATTAGATAAAGAGTGTTAATTTAATACGTTGTTCGTAAATTAAATTCTATATGTCGCATGTGGAATGCATCATACGTATTATATTAAATGAAATGAATAATATAATTCGAAATAAAATTTCCTATTAAATAGTATTATATTTAATTATTGATATTATAAAATTTGTAAATAATTTTTATATGGATCGATACATTTAATCGTATATACTATCAATCAATAGTAATTTCAGAAATATATTTAAGAACAAGTTCACTTTGCAATAATGAAATTTATGAAAGAACTTTTAAAGTTTTTGAAGCTTTTGAAATATAATTTAGTGAAACTTTTCACACTATGAAATATTACAAAATAGAGAACCGAAGTTATAAATTATTAATCGTTATTTATGATTAACGATCATAAGATGAAATGTAACGTGGAATAATCGTTATTTGAAACTTGATTCTCGCGTTTAAAATTCTCTTTGAAGTTCTTAAAGATCATTCCTCCGTGAATTATACATTTTACGCGGACAAAGCGTTAAAAAAGAGTCAATTCTCGCCTGACCAAGGATATTCCTTATACACTATGATAAGATGCATAAGGTACAAGTAGATTGTCAAAGGCTTTTACTTTGCAAAAAGATCTTTTATAACGTCAGCTTTTATATTCTATTAAAGACATAATGTCACGATATATGCACAATAAAAAAAAAAAAAAAAGAAAAATAGAAATAAAAAAAAATATCGAGACGAAATTTCTTAAATATAATGATATTAAAAGAGATGAAATGATAAATATATTTATATATGCAAAAATTATTTTTATAAAACTGATTAAAAAATATAAACGTATATCATTTTATTAGTTTTTTATTCTGTTATAATGTTACTTTGTAATTAATTGAATAATTAAATTTTTTCTATCAATTGATCACTATTTTCTATTTTTAAATATTTAAAATTAAAATTATATCCATAGATTTTTCTTTTTATTTCCTATCCATATGCATTATAATTATATAAATTATTTAAATGTTCATGCGCATATTATTTGCATATTAATAAAATCTGAATAATGTATCAACTCAATATCTATAAACAGAATTTATATTGTTATTAAACTAATTAAATTTGTCACTATCCAATATCCTTATTTTATTTAAGGAGAACAATACTCACAATAAAATTATATAGATACGTTTAAAAGAAAAATAAATAAAAATTATTTTAAAACATACAATTGCTATATAACTTTAAATTTATAAATTTTGATAAATGATTCTGATTTTATTTAATGGTTTATATATTACATTAAATAATTTTTATAAAACTATACTTTTTTTTTGACCTGTTTGTTTTAAAGATTATATTTCAAATTTAAAAGATAATGAAAAAAATAATTTCATTTTTCTACATAATCTTATGATCTCACGTAACGCGATTTTATTCAATATTATTTAATATTATAATTTATTAAGTATAAAATTATTTTGAATTTCCATATAATAAATGCATCGATTATTATATCCATTAATTTGATAATCGAATATTTATAACAGTTTATGCATAAATTGTTTAAAGTTCGTGTCAGAATATTATTTTGACACCGGGAGAAATATGGTTTTTTGTCAAAAGTTTATAATATTGTTTTAGAGGAAGTGATGTTTGACAAGTGCGGTGACATTTCATAAAATAATTCCGCGTTTATGTTATAGATTTTGAAGTGTGGACGTTGTTTTGACAAAGAACGTTGACACGTGGAAACATAAAACGCGGAAAGCTCACTTCCTTTCGCTTTGTAAAGACTTTCAAAACAAGCTTCCTCCTAGACATGACGGGTTTTCAATATATTGGTTTTATACTTAAAAGAATTCGGTTTTCCTTGCTTTGAAGAAACTTATCCTGTGGCGTTCACATTTGTGAACAGATGAATTTTGTTTAGAAATACTTTAAAATTCTATAAAATATTCTATAAAATACGAAACTATCAATAAAATAATACTTACCAAATACACGACTTTGTATAAAGATTTATCAAAGATTTAATCCAACATTATTTTTTCTAATCATATTTAATATCGCTAATATTGAAAATTTCTATTTGCAATATTATATTCCTTGCAATATTCGTTTCATTTTCATATTCGTTTTTGAAATTGTCATATTTTCCTAATATTTTCATATCATAATAACACAAACATAACATGACGACGAAATTTAACCTAACTTAATATTTCCGTAATATTTTTATAATAATGCATACTGTAATATCAAACAGAATAAAAATTAAGCTGATCTAACCCAATTACATTTAATATTGCTGTCAATATCGAGATATCCACTCGTTTCAATTTTCGAAATTCTCATATTTTCGTAAAATTTCCATACCAAAATAACGCGTACGTGACATCGAGCAGGCGAACGAAGCTGCGCACAAAATGGGAGAATAAATCTCAAGGTGGACTCCAGATGGGCAGTCGTAAAACGATCGCGCTAATTCAAGACGAGATTTAATGCCCGATGCAATCATTAAAAATGACTGACGTATTACTGCATAGTTCCTTCACGTTTTATTTGTCCTGAAATTGTAGAATAGCGTGTTCTTCTTGCGATGCACATGTCCCCGGGGATCGTTAAAGATTATCATTTGGCATTAACTCGGTTCGTATGCAACCGGTTCTTCCTTTCGAGGAAAAAAGGCTCGACGTTTCCTCGTTAATTTTCCCAACCATTTTTGCCAAGGGGATTATGTGATTATATGATTGTGCCGCATCTGTTTCTTACACTAGGATTATATCTCAAAGAGAAATAAGAAAGGAGAATCTGAGACTTGGAGAAAGGAACAAGGAATTTCCGCTTTCTCTTAAAGATAGATTTTTTTAATGCAATTTCGAGGAATGAAAGCCGGATAGTATACTGGTAGTAACTCGAGACGACTTTTACTTTATTACGAACTTAAACGTCGGTCGCTTCGACGAACGTTTTTATTCGTGTTGATAAATTGGAATTCAGATTAATAAGAGGGCAAAAAATTGTCAAGTTGAAGTAACACCTAGCCCACGGGGGCAGAATAAATTGGAGAACAGTTTCTCTGACGGTGGAATGGTAGAATCTCTCATGCGACGGTATTTCTGGAATATTAAAACGCGAGACTGGAGCTCAAGAATTTCCATAAAGATAAATAGGAGTCGGTTCTATCGAGCAATTTCCATTTACGGGAAGAACAAGTCTGACGTTTAATCCTATGGCATCCTTATCCACTCTAGAATTCAAGATCCATTTACAGATGGACATTGAATAATCTATATTTAGAAGATCTTTCAGCAAATTTTGAAACCAATCCGAAACTTTTCCACTATAAAATAAGATATCCTTGATTGAAAAGTTTATTATGAGTTAAAAAACTTGGAAAATGTGACGATAGAATTGCATGAAATGAATTAAAGATTTGAAGAAAGTTGTGTTAGCATTAGTCCAATGTTGGTACGAAGAGATTCGAGATTGGATAATATTTCTTTCGAAAACGAAGAACAAGGGGAAGGCTATTGACGATAATGTTTCTACGAAAAGCAGCGAGAGAAATGACATCTCAAATGGAAGTAATCTATTCTATTATTCATCATTGGCTCAAATAGGAAAAGTGGAGGAAATGGACAAATGGATTGCACATGAGCTCTGCGATAGTACGTGCTGTATAAGAAGTTGAATAAATGGAGATAGCCACTTTGTTATTTCAAAGAAATAATCCATTTCTAAAACGTTTAGTAATATTCGTTTTCTGCGAGAAAAAGTGGATTTTATATAATAATCGAAAATATTTAAAACAATATTTAAAAATGTGTATAAGTTATTGAAGATACAAAATGATATTTAGTTGAATAAATATAATATGTAAAAATAATTTCGTTTAAATATACAACATTTTTTAATCCTTTATTGTCCTGACGGTATTGTAATACCACCTGTATTAAAGCGTTACTGTCATCCAAATATGTTTACAATCCTACTGGGACTTATAAATACTTAAAATCCTCCGAGACGTTATAAAATGGCCAGCATTCAGAACCATATTTAACTACATACAAGAAGAAAAAAATGTGATATATATTCTTCATTTTTAAAATGACTCGTATAATGCTATTTTTAAAAATATATTTTATATGTAGAATATTTTTAATCAAAAATTTCTATTTTCTAATTCTAAATTTATCATTAAAGAAATTGTAATAATCTAAATCTGGGATTTCTTATTTTTAAATAAAAATTTCAATGAAATAATTTAATTCTAAAATAATTAAAGAATTACAAAAATTACGTGTTCAATTGTATACTGAAAATATTTCATACCTTCTTTCAGTTCTTTCATAATCCTGTGTGTTTCATATCTTCCATCGCCCATTACGAAACTTTCAATGCAATCATACTCGATATACAGAATTTGCAATGAAACGTGGCATGATCGTTGGTAGAGAATGATCTCGAACTCGATTTATGATAATTCCACTTGAACGAAATCCCACCTCGAGGGTAGAGATGAATCGCGAGATTTGATGAACACGAGGCTATAAAGCTTCTTATTGTGATAGTATTCGCGGTGGTGAGCGTTAAGCGATTGTTAAACATCTAATAGTTGGTATAAAGTGGTTCGTTTCTCATAGAGGATCTCGTAACGAGTATTTCCGTTCTTGGCCATGGTTGTTCGTCGAAACCAGTTTAACTCAATTGAAATTCTTTCGCAAAATGTATCTCACTAGATTTATGAACACGTTGTTGTACATTTTGTTATTTTACAAAGTTCGCTGCTAATTGAGATAGAATCGTTCGTAGGAATGCGATATATTTTTTATTATTCGAATGATAAATTAATGTTTGTCGTGAAACGATGGATTAAATTACATGTTTTCATGGTGTTTCATTGCTTGAAATCTTCGTTTCGTGTTCTTCATTCATCTGATTTTCAACATTTTTAGTTGGAATAAAAGTAACACGAATACGAGTATCATAATCATGTTGGATTATTATTTGAATTTGAATGTGTATAACAATAGTGGTGTTATATGGTAAATAGATAAATTATACGTTTTATTTTTTTGATAAATGATATATACTACTTTTAGAGTCTATCTAATGATTCTAGAATAAGAATATTTAAAAAATGAAGATTAGTTCAAGTTAACATAAGAAAATAACATTATATTTATTACTAATATTATTATTATATTCATATTTATGTTTCTTCATTTTTTTTTATACTTATAATCTTAAAAAATAAATGTTAAAAAATCTCTTTTTTATTATTTTTAAACTATTAGATTTATATTGAATATCTTAAGATTAAAAATAGGTTCAAGTTATAATTTTAAGTTTAACATGTATTTATAAATCTAAATTAATTCAAATATCTTCAGACTTTACATTTTATTTGTAATTGTAATTTATAATTCTTGTAATAATGTATTATTTTCTGTTATTTATTATTATAGTATATAGTGTCTGTTTTGTTCTGAAATTAATTATAATATTCTTATTAAAAATCCCTTGTTAGTTAGCTAACTTTTCTATTATGTAAAATATTTTTCAACGTAATATATATTTTATTTTAGAATCAAATTGCAGAATCTTTTTATCGTAATCTGATAAGAACTGATGCTTTTGTTATCTTTGGCCAGAAAGCAATTTCTAAGAAAAAAAATCGATAATTTTCTTTAGGTTTCCTTCCTTGGCTACCTAGCTGGCGCCAGTATTCCTTTCAAAGTTTCTGTGCTTGAAGAGAATCGACAGTAGTCCATGTCGGTAAATTATCAGCTGCTGGATGTCTGACCATATCTTACCGTCTCTACTAATGTAGCTCATTCTCTCTTTACGATATTCGTCTTAAAATATCATATTATAGAAATTTAAATATGATTTCGTTATGTTTGAAAATGATTACAATTATATGTTAATGTTAATCACATTAATTATACTTATATTTTTTATGTTAAAAAGAATTACAATATTTCAACAATAAAAATTAGTGGAAAACAGGATTCCTATCCAGTTTGTATAAAATTTCAAATTATATCAATTATTATAATATGAAAATAAAATAATTAAATCGTGCTAAACATTAATATGAAGTAAACAATGAAAAACAAGTAGATGATATAT